GGTTCCGGTATTTTGGCTTTTATTTAATTGTAAAGTTATACTTTGTTAAATTTTCGAATTATTTATTTGGCGCTTTATTACTTTTTTTTTTGTTAAAATATAAGTATGGTTTAAATGGTTAGTAATTATTTTAATAATTTTTTGTAAGTAAGTTAAGTAATGCCGTTATTTTTCGAAAGCTTTTACAATTGCTAGCAATTTTAAATTAAGAATTGCATAGCGCAACTTTTTTTGTTGCAATTTTTTCGATATGTAAGCTACCGGGTGCTACCGGCCGTTTTGCAATTGCAATAGCACCGTTTTTATCGCAAAAGTTAAAGCGTTAATCCGTACGCATAACGGCTTCGAAAGGTCGAAATGCACCAATACCGGAACTTTCGTAAATAGCAATTTTAATTTGCAAAAAGCCTTTTTCGCAACATTTTTTAAATAAAATACGGTATTTTTGCTAAAAAGGTTCGTTAAAAGCATAATAATTTTTGCGTAACCTTTTACAAATTTCCAATAATATTTCGTAAAGTTTAAAAATATTTGGATGTTTTTAACGCTTTCCGGTATCCTTTACTTTAAAATTGTAACAATTTTGTTTAGCAAAATTTCGACCCCGAATTTGGTTATTTTAAACCCTAAAAAATCGATACTATCCGTTTCGAATTCGCATTTGGCCGGGTTAACGTAAAGTTTAAATCGTTCGAATCGTTTTAATACCGTTTTTACTGCCTCGCGGTGCTTTTTTTGTATTTTCGAAAAAATAAAAATGTCGTTTAAATATACGATGCAATTGCTATTAATTAATTTTCCAAACGCTATATTAATAAAGCTTTAAAACGTTATTAAAGCGTTGGCCAAACCGAAAGGCATTATTAAATATTCGTAATGTCCATATTTACAACGGAAAGCAATTTTTTATTCGTTTTTTTATCGGATTCGTATTTTGTAATAAACGTTTTTTAAATCCAATTTGGTAAAGTACTGGCTTTTAAATACCCGGTTAAGTATTTTATAAATTAGCGGAAATGCTAGCCGGTTTTTTTTGGTAATTTTGTTAAAATCCCGATAATCGATACAAAAGCAAAACTTCCCGTTTTTTTTTAAAACGAATAGGATTTCGGCGCCGGCGGGGCTGGTTAAATGCCGGATTTAACCTTTCGTTATGGCTTCGTCAAAATACCCCCAAAAAGTTTTTAATTCCTTTTTGGATAAAGGATAAATGCTTTCGTAAAGCGGTATCGTTCTTTTTTCCAATTTAATCGCGTAATTTTAATTTGTATATTTTAGCAAAGGGTTCGATTTATAAAGCTACGCATATTTTGCAATTATTTTTTTAACTTATTCCGGAAAAGCTTTTAGCTTTTTTCCGGGGTTTTTCGGGGTTTTCGGGCGTGCAACCGTTAGTACGGTTATCGTTTGTTCCGATTGGATTAATTTTTTAATTATTTCCAACGAAATTATTTTAACCTTTTTAATGGTTACCGGAAACCTTTATTTTATATTTTTAAACCGGATTTTAATGTTTTTTTGCTAAAGCCAAAGCATGCTTAACGTAATGTTGTACCCGGCCCGGGGCACCATTACGTAAAATACCATTAACTTTCGGGTTATTCTTTAACTATCCGTTACCCAAATTTTGTATTTCCTTACCTTTAGCGTAAGCATGCGTTTTTTGGTATCGAATTACGCTAAATAGCCCCCGTTTAACACCGGTATTTTTTTTGCTTCCATTAAAAAACGGTTATGCAACAAATTAACGTTGCTTTTATTGTTAACCAGCGCTTTTAATTTTACCCGGCAACCGTTAATCCGTAAATATATTTCGGTTTTTTAGCGCGTTTTGGCCGCCGGGGCGCACCTTTAAGCCCCGGTGTTTAAACGGCCAAATAGCGATATCGAATTGGGTAGCGATATTTTGCTTTTTTTAAAGCACGCCGGCCGGATATAGCCCAACTTTCCATACCCGTAATACCGTACTTCGGGCTTTTTTCTTTTCGCTTTTTGTATAATTGCTAAAGCCAACGGGGTTTCCGGGTTATCCGTCCGTATTTTGCATGTTGTAACGATATGGCTTAATTGCCCGTATTTAAAGCAAATAACCGGTTTTTTAAAGGCTAAAACATTTGTATCCCCCGGGGTCCTTTTATACGGTCCCGATATTATTTTTGCTTTAAAAGCTTTGGCTTGCAATTTTTCCATAATATAAAAAAGGCTTTTAAATGTTACCCGTTTTTAAATTTCGGGGCGGAACCGGTTAAAAAGCAATATTATTTTTATTTATTTGGGTGCTAATTCGGAAAGGTCGTTTTTTACCAAATTCCAACGAATTCGAAACGCTTTAAACGATTTGTAATTTTTTTGTTTAATAGCGGTATTTCCCGCGAGCTTTTTAATTGCTAGCTACATTTACGAATCGGGGTTTTTCGATTTTGTTTAAAATTACCGCAAAAAATCGGCTTAAATAAGCGATACCCCGGTATTTGGGTAATGCATTTGCTTGTATTTTGTTTATTGTGCCCGTTAACGATAGTTAAAAGTGCTGGAAGCTATTTAAACTTTTATACGGTTTTTACCGTAACGTTCCTTTTTGCTTTCGAAAATAAATTTGTAATTGTTAATATAATGGGCGATATTTTGCTAAATTGCTAATTTTTTAAGCATAAAAGGTTTAAAAGTAATTTTGCTTTACGTAAAACTTTCCCGTTGCTTAAAGGTATTTTTTTTATTTTCGTTTAAGCTTTTATACGCATGCTTCGACCTTTTATTTTGGATTTTTTAAATTAAACGGGCGCGTTTGCTTTAAGCTTTTAGCGCGTTATTTATTTTTTGCAGCTTTTTTACGGAAAGGTTTTTGAAATCGTCGGGAAATTGCGGGGTTTTTTTAATGTTTTGTTTTGGTAGCCCAACGGCCTTTTCCAACGTATTCGACGTAGCGTTAAACGTTATTGTAAGCGATGCAAAATTGCAAATGCCCTTTTTAAATTTGCTCGATCCTTTCCGGTAATTACCCGGGCTTATTTCCCAAATAAAAAAAGTGTAAAAAAAGGAACAATATATTAGGAATTAATTAGTGCAAAGGCGGGTAATTACCGGGTTACGGGCCGGATGCGGTATTTCTTTTATTAAACCTCCGTAAATCTTTTACTAATGGTGCTATCGCTAACAAAAATTGTTTTTTTTTTAACTTTCCCTTTTTTTGTGCCTTTTTGGGCACCCGGGGTCGGTTTTTTAAATTTTCCGCGCTTTAAGCGCTTTTGTGCAATTTAAGTTTTACCTTATTTTTTAATTTCGTTATTATGCTTTGGCCGCAATACCGGTAACTTGCCGGCATGTCCCCGGGGGGTCCGTGCCCGGCTAGCTGCCAGCGCCCCTTTTTTCCTTTTTTGCCGGGCGGTTTCGCCCGTGCATTTAACGCTTCCCGCTTTTTACCGGGCGGTTTCGCCCGTGCTTTTAACAGCAAACCGTTTGGGAACTAACTACGCAATAATAAAAAAAGCTACCAAAAAAAGGAAAAGCGCTATTAAAGTAACGAAAAGGTATACGTAACGTATCGCAATGCACGAAGCAAACATTATATAAAACGTTAAAAGCATGTAAACCATTGCCAAATGGGCAAAATACAAAAGCCACTAACTTTTTCCCCCCCCGTTATTCCTATTGTTAAAATTACCAAACGAAAGGGTAACGGTAATAAAATAAACGAAAAAAGCAGCTTTAAAAAGGAAGTTTTTCTTTATATTAACGGCGAACATTACCGATATCCCCAAATACCCTAAACCACTTTCCCAATTTTTGTTCGTCCGTAAAAAAATTACCGCAAAAAACGTAAAAAGGACCTTTTAAAATACAAAATATTAAAAAATTTTAAGCCTAACGGGGATTTTTATCGGGGAATTGCTAGCAATGGAACCGGCACTTTTTAAAACATTAACGAAAATGTTTACGGCATGCGTAAACCGCGGTTACTTTTTAAAAAGGTTCCGGAAATTTCGCATTATTATTTTCCAAAAACCCAATAAAAACCCGAACATTTTAAGCGCGTAAAAGCTAATTGCTTTTTTAAAAACGATAAGGAAAGCGTTAAAAAAGATTTTAACGTTTTGCATTAAAAACGCCGCAAAAAGTTATTAATTATTTCCCAATAAATAAATGGGCAACCAATAATACAAATTTACGGAAACGGCTATACGCTTACTTATAAAAGTGGTAAATACGGTTTAAAACGCAAAAACGGTGGTTGGTTTTTTATTATTCGATATAAACAGCGCTTTTAATACCGTATTGCATATACGCTTTTTCGACGAAATAAAAAAATACCAATTTTTATAATGGATTTTGGATTTTTTTAAAAGCTTTTTAAGCAATTAAAAAATAATACTTTTTTTCGACGGCAAAAATACGGCAAAAAATAAAATTCCATGCAAAATTTTGCAAAAGTTCCCGATATTACTTATCCTTTTTATTATTTATACGGTAGGTTTGTACAAAAAGCTACGGGAAATAAAAGGGGTTGCGGCTACGGGATTTGCAAATAATATTAATTTAATTAATTTCGACCGCAACGCAACGAACGTAATTAATAAGCTTAAAACCGCCCATAACGTATGCTTAAAATGGGCAAAAAAATTTGGAACGAAATTCGACCCGGCCAAATATTAATTAATTTGGCTAATAAAAAGGAAAAAACCCGCGTTAACGCTACTTTTCCGTTTTGGAAAAGTTACGGTAAAACCAAAAACGACAAAAAAAGCAATGCAAATATTAAGCCTTTAAATTAATTTTAAATTGGATTGGATTTAGCATATCCAAAAAATGCGCGAAAAAATAGCGACCCAAATGCTATTTATTACGCGCTTAACAGCAATAACGTGGGGACCCACGTTTACCAAAACCAAATACTTATACCTAGCCGTAATTAAAGCAATATTAAGCTACGCGGCCCCGGTTTACCATAAATTTAACGCTACCCCGTTACGGCCCAAAAAAATGGCCAAAACGTGGGCAAAAACGCAAAACAATTGCTTAAAAACAATAACGGGGGCTTATAAAAAAACCTTATGGAAATTGCTAAAATTAAAAACGCATATAGCCCCAATCCAAATATAATTAAATGGTTGCATTGCCCATTTCGAAAAAAAGTTAAAAAAGGGCGGTTTAGCGGAAAAAATTGCAAATATTTGCAAAAAGGTGCAGCGGAAATTAAAAAATAGGAAGCGAAAGCTTATGGTTACAATTACGCGGTTATTTCGTTAACGGGAAAAAGCGTTAAATTAAATCGGAAAATCGGACCCGGAAATAGCGGTATTGAAAAAGTGGAAAAAAAAGTGGCACAATTACGTTACGGCAATTAAAAAAAGCGTTAAAGCTAACAAAAAGCAGCCCAATAAAAAAATCCTAAGCTTTTACCGCAATTTTTACAAAACCCAAAGCTTGTTATTGGTTTAGCTAAAAACGGAAAGGCTAAGGTTTCGGGGCTATTTAGTTTTTTAAAAAGTTTTTAGCGTGGCCGCAACGTATTAATACGGCTAGGACCCGGAAACGGTAGCATACGTATTATTACATTGCCCGAATTTGCAAAAACAAAAAAAAAACTTTTTTAAACAATAAAAAAAGCGGCAAAATTTTTGCTAAATTAGCCAAACGAAGCAACAATCGTTACAAAGTAATTTATAAAAATAAAACGGCTTTTTAGCTACGCTTTATCGAACGATATTATCGATACGTAAGCGGAAAAAGCGAAAAAGAAAAAAAAAAATAAAAAAACGTTAAACGCCGCAACGAAGCGGCAAATTCGAAAAAGAAATAAAGGGCTTAACCGCCCCGGCTTTAAAAAAGCCAAACCCATATTAAACCTTATCGAAAAAACCTTTTAACAATTTTATTAATTACTAATAACACTACATACCAACAAACAAAATAACGTAACCTTTTATTTTAATGCTAAAAAGCGGGGATTTATTTACGCCCGTAAGGGCGGGTCGCCGCAAACTATTTTTAAAATTCCAAATATAAAAAATCCGAACCGCTAAGTATATAGCGTTTAAACGGCCATATTATCGCTTTTATTTTTAAAACCGAAATCGAATTCGTTAAAATTGCGGGAAAGCGCTTGGAAAAGGGGAGGGAATGCAATAGCGGTTGCTTTTTTAATTGTTACCCCGGGCGCCGCCAATACCCTTTTTACCGCCCCCGTTGCCGCCGTAACGACCCCGGCTGGACCCGCAATTTTACCCTAACCAAATTTGTTAATAAATTAAAAACTAATCGCATCGTTTTTTTTTTAAGCTTAACCGCGGAGCTATTAATTACCGAAAAAAAGCCATTCGCCATTTTATTATTTTTACCGTTACCGTTGCCGCTATTAATTTGCAAAAAATTAGCGGGGGTAACTTTTTCGAAATATTCGTTATAACGATTAAAAAATTCGGTAACGTTATTGTAAAATTGGGCGTAAATATTTTAACGAAATCGAACGTTCCGCGTATAAGCTTTAACGCAATTTATTAACGTAAAATTGCTAAATTTGCCACGCCCAATTTGGAAATAATTAAAAGCAATATCGAATACGAAAAACATTTTAATAAAAATGTTAGCAATAATAATATCGCGGCAAGCTTTAATTCCGAAATTTCCCGCAAAGTAACGGGGAAACTTTACCAAAGCCGGGGTATTGTTCGGGGAATACGTTTTGCAAACGGCTTTAAATTCGGCGTAAGCGCAGCGCTCGTACTAAAAAAGCCAAGCTTTCCAATCCTGTTTAAGGTATTAATAACGCACCGGAAACGTAAAAAATACGATAAAGCAAAAAAAAATTTATAACTTTTATTTTGCCCGTAAAGTTAAACGCCCAAACGTAATGCTTTTTACGGTTCGTAAAGCTATTATTGGCAATAAAAGCAAAATTTACGGATTTAAGCTTTTTCGCGGCGTTAAGCATACGTTAACTTAATTCCGAAACGCTTTTTCCTAGCGCAAAGGTGCATTGTCCGTTTTTGCTAACCTTTTTTTTCGAATAGCAATATATACATTTTTTCGATTTGGAATTTAAACCGAAGCAATTTATTAATAAAGTATTTAAAAAAATAAAATTAAAAAAAACGACGAAAAAGATTTATTAAAATTTTGCATGCAAATTTTGTTAAGGTTAATTTTGCGGGCTATTATGCGCATGCACGTAATGCAATTGGTTAAGCCGTTAAAAACATTGGAATGGGTTAGCGGGAAATTGTAAAGATGTAAAAAAAACCATATACAAACGACGGGCTTTGCGCTTTTTAAAGTTGCCCGTTATTTCGAAAGGAAATAAAGCAAGCCTTTTTGTACCACCCTTTTTTTTAAGCGTTATAATACAATTGCGGACCGCGGGGAGCCGAAACGGAATATTAGCGAAGCGCTAAAAATGTACGGTTTTACGATTAAACGTTAAATGGGCTGCAAAGTAATGGAAGCCAGGAAAGGAAAACTTACAACGGTTATTGCTATTGCTATTTTGCAATTATTAATGGTATTTTTTAATAAAATTGCGTAAAAAATTGGGAAAAAAAAAGCGGAAAAAGCCGCGATATATTAACCCATTTGCTAAAATTAATAAAAAAGGAAGGAGCGACGGGAAAGCTTTAAATTGGTACGAAAACGTGCACCTAACAACGCGATTTAAATGCAACGAACGAACCGATTTCCGACCGGACCACAATATTTCGTTTCGAATAATAATAACTTTTTTTTTACCGAACGTTTGGAAATGCAAAAAACATTTTACAAATAATTACTTACGAAAACGACGCGAAATAAAAAATATTTCGAAAGGAAAAAGTTTTTACCCGGCTTTATACCAAATAGCTATTGGCTGGAAGCACGGTTTTTACCTTTAAATAGCTACCCCGATCCGTAATGCTCCCTATGGGCTATACAGCTCGAAAGGGTAAAT